GGATTGGACTGGATGGCCCTTGGGGTCTCTTCCAACTCTAGGATTCTACCCCCTTTCACTGCCCTCCCCATTTGGGGGCCTCCAAAGGAAGCAGGCTCCCCGTTGGGTTTTCCCTTCCAGCCGCTGGCTTTGTTCTCATCCAAGAGCCGGATTCAGATGGCGGGCCTTATCAGGGCGCCTTCCTCTCCGCTGGCGCTTCCTGTCCCCTTCATGAGCATCGAATGAACCAACGAACGAAGGGCATCACTGGGTCTCCAGAATGACTCATTTCCCCCTCCTCGGCCGTCCATTTGGTGGCTGTGTGTGCTTCCCGTCCCTTACAATGCTGGTGGCCACACTAATCCTGTTCCTCACTTCTCTGCTTTTTGCAAACAATCCCTGTCTCCAAAGATTGAGGTGGGAGTCCCAGAAGGATGCTGGTCTGTCCTGCTCCTCTGGCTCCAGGCTGCTGGGTTATGCAATCCCAGAAGGTTCAAGAGGAAGCTGCGTTACTTAACACTGTTATGGCTCTATCCAGCCTTGTAATGGCAGAGGGCCCATATTCTCCTGTTCTGTAGACCAATTCTCACATAGTTCCACAGTGGTTGGGTCGAAAATACAGGGCTAGAGAGATGGTCTGAACTGATAGGAAGCACCATGCTCCTTGCTGAGATGCCGCATTGTGCTTGCGCAGGCTCTATCCCTCTTCTACACAACCATTAAATCAGGGGTCCCCAAACTACGGCCCGTGGACCGAACCCGGCCCATCGAGGCCTTTCAACCGGCCCGTGGCTGGTCCTGCCGCTGCCACTGATGTGCTAGTGCCACTGCGCGCACGACTCCGGGCGCCATTTTGGAACACAAAACGGCGCCGGAGTAGTGCACATGCACGTGCAACACAGGGTGCCATTTCGTATTCCAAAATGGCACCCGGAGTCATGTGCATGTGCGCGCGATGCCAGACGCATGCGAACGACTCTGGGTGCCATTTTGGAACACAAAATGGTGCCCGAGTAGTACACGTGTGTGCATGCGCACACTTGCACCTCCGGCCGCAAATTATTTTTTTTTACTTCGGCCCTCCGAAGATCTGGGGGACAGTGAACCGGCCCCCGGCTGAAAAAATGTGGGGACCCCTGCATTAAAGGAACAGGAACCGCCTCCAGTTTTCATTCTGGCAACCCTATTCCCAGTGTCTCCAGTCCCATTGAATGACTGGGCATGGCTGCAGGCCTGGAGGAAGACTGACACAACAACGTCCAAGAATGTGCAATGGATGCAGATGGAGTTTGGTTGGTTCGTTCCAATTGCCACTCGGCCACTGACCCAGTCACTCCTCTAGGCATCTGTAGGTCCTCCAGCATCATTCTATGATCAACCTCTGGCAGATGTTGACCATAGAGTTGCACTGGAGGACCTGGAGATTCCTAGAGAGGTAGAAAGAATAGTGTTTTCTTGTTTGCGGTTTTTCCGTTCAAATGAGTCCCGCAGAAAATGTGGAGGGACCATAGGACTTTTTGCACTTTAAACTCAGGTTGCAGCATTTGAACTACCTAAGCTGAAAACAAAGGGGTAAATAAGGAGAGGGGAGAGAAACCGGGACATTTGGAGAGCACCGGAAGAAATGAGGTACGGCTAATTGGAAAAGGCTATAATGCTAGAATAGGTGGAGGAAGCAGAAAGAGAGGAAGACCGCATGCTAGATGGATGGACCCTATTAAAGAGGCCACAGGTATGACTTTGCAGGACCTGAGCAGAGAGCATTGGAGGATTGGGATTCTTGGAGAGGTCTCATCCTTAGGGTCCCCATGAGTTGAGATCAACTCCAAGGGTTAACAGCAACAACAGGAGGAGGAGGATCAGTCTCCAAATTGGGAGGGTTGGGGGATATGCGCTCTGGAGTTTTTGGAAAAGTCACAGCAGGAAGTCCTCCCCATCTCTTGCACAGGACAACAAGGTCAGATAGGAGAAACTGGTGCACATCTGGAGGGGCTTTTCAGCCGAACAGCTTTGCAAGAGGAGGAAATCCCAATCACGGAAAGCCGGAAAGCGGATTCCTGGCCTGGGCAGATACAGATCGATAGCTGGTCCTGCTGCATCCTGAGACAAGAGCCAGCCTTTCCTCTTCCTCCAGAAACGCACATGACACATCTGGCGCATGCAAACAGGGACCCTGGCAACCTTTTAAAGGGGGATGCTTGGCTCAGCATCGGGAGGCAGACTGCTATTAATTTTGCCGTCTTACAGGTCCCTGACTTTTCTCATCCATTGTCACAGGAATTTCGGTCAGCGTGAAGACTCTTGCAAGGACCGTGCGTACTTAGCGGTGCCTTCCTTGTGCCCAGTATAGGATATCTCCAAGTAAGGGTGCCAGTGTGGCTTGGTGGTTTGCGTGTTGGACTCCAGCTCTGGAGACCAAGGTTCAATTCCCTGCTTGGCCTTGGAAACCAATCCTAACACGGGGTGGCCTTGGGCAAGTCACATGCTCTCAGCCTCAGAGGAAGGCAATGGCAATGCCCCTCTGAACAAATCTTGCCAAGAAAACCTTGTGATAGGGCCCCCATAAGTCAGAAATTACTTGAAGGCACACAAAAACCACAACAATAAAAGGTGCTGAGGATAGCTGGCAGGTAAACTTTGTTATTCCTGGGAGTCCGCAATGCAAATGGTGCCTCATAGAATCATAATTCTCGTTTTGTTTTGTTTTGTTTTGCTTTGTGTGTGTGTG